AAGACCCAATCCAGAAATGGGCATCTGAGATAAACAGACTCTTCTCAGACAAAGAAGTACAAACATCAAATAAATGCATGAAAACATGCTCAATATGCAAGATGCCAATTAAAACAAAATTCTAAGAGGCATGACAGATATTTTTACTTCTTCTTGATTTTAGGAAGGGTTTGGTAAGAACATAGCCTTCATGTTGGATGTATAGATCAACCAGGTCTACAACAGTCACCTATAGAAGTTTTACAAAAGTAAAAATCCTTAAATTTTTGTGAAATTTATTTTTAACTCCTTGACAAATATCCTGTAAGTGTAGGTAGTTACTATTTTGTACTCTGTGCTAAATGACTATGTTGTCAGAACAGTGAATGGAGTGATGTCATATGAAAAGACAGTGTGGTCAAGCTTCTTGTGAATTAAATTATGATGTCAAACCATAGAATCGACATATCTGACTGCTATGATAATGCCTACATACTGTTGGTTTTTGCAGTTTACAGAAAACAGCTTCCAAGGGCCAGCCAAATAGCTCAGTGGATTAAAGTGCCTACAAGCATGCTTAAGGGCAGAGGTTCAATCCTCGGGCCTGCTGTGCTGGCCCTGCCCCTGGAGCATGCTGATTGAGACCGGGTATGGTGGCATGCTCCTGTATTTCCAGCTCTTAGGAGGCTAAAAACAGAAGGATCACTATGAGTCCCATCTAGTAGTGAGACCCTGAACACAGTATAGACCCTTCCCTAAAATACAAAAAAGAAAGAAAGAAAGAAAGAAAGAAAGAAAGAAAGAAAGAAAGAAAGAAAGAAAGAAAGAAAGCTGATTCCAGAGGTTCTTTTGTTCACAGATAATGAAAAAGACAATTATTAGAATAAAAATTGCGTAGCTGATATAAAAATGTGTTAATTTTCTCAAGCAAAATAAGTAGTCTGCAGTTCCAACGCAAAGGAAATCATCACCCAGCTAATCTTTTAAAACTATGTTAATATTTTGCTCCTCTTCTGCAAAGTCTGAATAGATGGATTGAAAGAGGGTACGGAAGGAAAATCCACCCTTATCTCTATCAAGCTGTGATGGCGATGCTAATCTCTATATACCTCCAAAATTATGGAGTAGAGTTTGATTTCCTTTTGTTAGGAGCAGACTGGCCTAGAAGCCTGAACTTGGCCTTTGCCAACATAATGGCCCTCCTCCATCCCTAGTTCAAGAAAGCAAACTAGAGACTGGTCAGCTCTTCTGTATGTCTATCTCAGTTATGCCTACTACACGATAGTGATGCAGAGCAGGAAGGTTTCAGGTTCCAAAGGCCATATTCTGACATGGATCTAAACTAAAATATATTAATCAGCTCAGTTGTATAAACATGCTTTTTAACTACTGAACCTCTTGGATATTTTGGGTAGTAATTTAGCTCCTTGGATTTAGTGTCAATTTAGGTGCAGTGTCTATTAGACTCTAAAAGTCTCAACATTTTCTCATAAATATTGCAGTTACCCTAGTTAAAGTCCTTTTGTGAAAATTTCAGAGAAAAAGTGACAGCATACAGTTTTACAAGTAGAACAGAGTCCTTAAAGTGAACTAAGGTTCTCTTTGTTTCACTGTTTTCTGTATCTGTGATATAGAACCTGGCTCAGCTCAGGACATTGACAGTTGGACTGTATTGCTCTGCTTTTGATTCAGGTTGGGCATTCATTTTCCTGACCTAAGCATTTTCTGCTTCTATACAAAGTAAGACTTCAGTACCATTCCTATTTTATAGCTAGGAATACCGTGGCCAACACCATGGGTATGTGGGTTATACACTCCAAAGGTTTTAACTTTTTTTTTTCTACTACTGCTAAAATTATCTTTTAGTAGCTGGTTATTAACACAAACGTCTTGTATCTCAAGAATTGCCCTCACTGCATGTATATTAACCAGTTTAGTGTTTCTATCACTACTACTACAAATTCAAGAATACAAAGGAAATTAACTACAGAATTTTTCAAGGATGCTTTTATAAGATTCTATTATAAATGTA